TCTGCTGTTATGTCAAGCTAACCTCACTAAAGTCACCAGCCAAAATAAGGAAGGAGAGCAGAATCCTTGTGACACAAGTAAGGCTAACGGAGACTCTGAGAACTTTAACCAACACGTAGGAAAATAATTTTCTTAATGCCAGGAGAAGCTATAAATACCTAAATAGATGTTTGGAGTTACTGCAGATGGTGACAGAGGCGGTTGGCTGCTCTTCTTGGGAGCTTTGTAGCCCGTGGCCGAGCTGGTCACACCTGTACTTTCTTTCTTACGCTCTCTCTGCATCTTTGGAGGAAGGGTGGTGGAAAGCTTGACTTCAAAGGAAGCAAAATTAACCTGTAAGAAATGGCAGGCTGCAATATTGGAAATGCAGCCATTTTTTGTATAATTTGGCTATTTTATATATTTCTGAGAAGACAGTATTGGTCCCTAGGTATCAAATCGTTCAGTTTATTCAGCTGTATGTGAAGTCCTCATTTAAATTAGAGCTTGGAGAGCACCGTGCAATACCTGAAGAATCAATTACATTCTGAATAAGTAATAGACCTGTTTATTATACTACATATTTTTAATAATAAAATTGGCATCTGTGGCTTACAGTATGTAGGGACACTTCTTAATCTACTTTACAGTCCATTCAAGCACAGCACCAGCTTTTTGTATCTATATTCAGATCTTCAGAGATTACAAAATGTGGATGTTTCAAGTACGTGCATTGTTATTAGTTATTCTTGCACTGCCTGTACAAATAATGTACAAACAATTACATACAAGGCTTGAAAACAGTGCATTACATATAGTGCAAAAAATGAGCTGTGTGGCAATAACAAACCTTTGAAATAATCTCACTGCAGCACCGGACTCTAAACCTTACATGGCAAATTTCATTTTGTGTTTCACAGAATTATAGGGGTTGAATGGGACCTCTGGGGATGTTCTAGTCCAACCCTCTGCTAATGCAGGTTCCCTAGAGTAGGTTGTACATGAAAGTGTCCAGGTGAGTTTTGAATACCTCCAGATAAGGAGGCTCCACAACCTCTCTGAGCAGCCTATCTCAGTACTCTGCCATTCTCACTCTTCCTCGTGTTTGAATGTTTCTTCCCGTGTTGCAGTTTTTGCCTGTTGCTCCTTGTTCTGTTGGTGTGCAGTACTGAAATGAGTCTGGCTTTTAAAATAATTTGACTCTTGCATAGTGATATTTTACAGTCTGGAAGTATTGGAGTACTTAACTTGAATGGAGAAAATAGAAAATGGAAGTTAAATAGTAGTGATGGAAACATTGCCATTCAGCATTGGAATGTTAATGTATTTCATTTTAGTTTTTCTTGCTGGACATGCTAAACACCACTTATACAAAATTACTTTTTAATTTGCAATTTATTTCTCTCCATTTTTTCTAGTGGTCAGAGTTCCCTCTTATAATTCCTAAGGCTGTATCTTAAAGTTTCATTTCAGCTGCCATTTTAAATTAACTTTTAAGAGTGTGCAGAAAGGAAAACCTCTCTATTCCTCTGTGACTTTCAAAAAACACAAGTTCCAGCAGGATTATGCATTAGAGAAAACCCTGAGCTGTTTTTCTTAGGGCCCTGGTGCTCACTCAGTCAGTGTACTGTTCAACTCTGTTTATATTTTCTTCATAGTCATTACAATCCCAGATACATGTGTTTGTATGTATTTCCATACATGGAGAGTTGTGAGGGCATAAGGAAAAGAAGAAGGAAAACAAAAGACGTGCAATATAAATTGGTGCTTGATGTTAGTGTACGTGAACTGCCACCCACCTGGCATCTAGATTTCTTTTGTTTGCTATCCTCAATTTGCTGTCATGCAATAACATAGACAATGGAAAGGCAAAGTAGGTCTTGAAGAAGGAAAAACAAGTATTTCAACCGTTGTTCACCTACTACCAAAATACTTCCAATTTGCTTCCTTGGAGAACTGACTTTCTAGTCTACTGATTGTGTTTCAGTGCATGCATTAAATACTTAATTGCTATCATTTTAACATGTAGTAGATACAGCGTAGTTGAAAAGTATAAGTTGCAGAAAAGGAAAGGCAGTGAGCAGTATAGTGGAAATGAAGGCAGGAAGAGAAATTGAGAGAAGAGAATGAAGAAGAAAGGAGTAAAGAACTGAGAAATTCAGTATTATCTGAAATTTAGTAATATTTAGTGACTGATAAAACAGATTCCATTTTTTTTACATTCCTTTTATTTGATTTTTTTTGCCTTCCTCTGGCATGATTACAACATTTACTACTATTTTTCAAGGCCTGCATGGCCTACAGGAGCAAACCCAGGATGCAAGCTTGAGTTCTTATTCTATGAACTGAAATATATACACATATGTAAAATATCTGCGTTGCTTCTATCTGCACACTTTATTTAGCATTGAGTACCTACAACAAAGGGATTGGGAAAAAGAGTAAATCATTTTTGTATTCTAGTATCCAGAGCATGTGATACATCTTTAACTCCATGTCCTCTAATAGAGAGAAATACCTTTTTTGTAAAGCATCTGCGATAGATTTGTTCCTCTGTTACTCCTGGTGTCTTCTGGTTTTGGTATGAGTTGGGGTTTTTGGCTTTTCGAAAGCATTATTATTGCCCTCTCACACCTAGATAGTAATCCTCTTATTCCTGCAAGGCTTGGCAGACTGGAATAGACTGGACGTAAGTTAATGCTGTGCTCGTTAGCATGAGTTTGGAATTTCCAGTGGCTGTTTTTCAGTCCTACTGGTTGCTCTGGCTTTGGTAGGGATTTGTTGATTGCTTTGGTGATCCCTTTCCAGAAAGAGAGAATGCTCCAAAGACTTGATTTTGAATACTTTTCAGTTCAAAGGAGCAGAAAATCTTACCTTGGCTATTCCAAGCATAATGGCAGTAGGGCTGATGGAGCCTCTTACTAGGCCTGTGCTTTTTAATGCCCTCTACTACTTAGAGATGAGAATGTAAAAATCAGTCAGTATTTGGCCAGGAAATACTTCATTTAGTTTTGCTAGCTGACACTTTTCATTCATCAGCTTTCTTGAACTGAAATGGCAACTAGCAAGTTATTGCAGGATTGGGTATGTTTTGTTCACTTAATTTTCATGTAATCTCTAAATGAAATTCCCATTAATTAATCTTATCCCTCTATTAACTTAGATCGACATTAAAAAGACTGCAATTAGAAAAAACAGATAAAATATAATAGAATATAATTAAATCAGTTCCAATATTCTGTGGCGTTGCCCTTCATGAATGTGAATTGTTCTTCCCACAGTAAACAGCGTAGTCAAACGTCAAGCCTGTTTCCCAATTCATCAAGCATCACCTTAATAAGGGCTGAGATAGCTTTGTGTTGAACTGCATAGTTCTGTGTTTGTCTCACGACAGCCAGCATGTAATGTAGCACGTCGGGACTTGCTGCCAGTGCTGTCACTGGTGTGATGCAATGGGTCTCAGCCCCCAGTGCTGAGGTGTAGCTCCCACTGCTTGAGGGAGTGCATGCACACGGCTGTGTGTATGCTGAGAGCAAGGAATGGTGTAGAACTTGCCCTCCTCAAAAAACACTTTGCTTACTGAACATCATCTGACAAAAACGTGTACATGGACTTTTCACTTTAGGCTTATGTGCTTATCACAGTTTCTTAACCATTTTGTAAGCACAGAATTTGGGAAGTAGGGGAAAGCCGTTACAAGTCGCATGAAACTAAGATGGGACTGATCTGTGAAAATAATTAAGCTGGAGGAGAGGTTTTCCTTCGCGGGATGTTTCTGGAAAGGAAAGAAAAATAGAACTAATGGTTAAGTGGAGCCTCGTATTACAGACTCGTCTGTGATTGTCTAGAAATTGAATTAACCTCTCTCCTGTGCATATCGTTTAAAACGCAGCTCAGGAGAGGCTGCCCAGAGGTTAGGGCTCTGATGGTCTGCTGAGCAGAAATAGTAGCAGAGGTCCTCACACCGGGAGGAGGGAGGACTCGTGACAAGGAGAGGAAAGGAGGGGAAGAGGGGGAAGAGAAATGTTAATTTTGGCAGTGGAGCTGACAGAATAAATTTGTCTCCAAGCCCAACAGTTGTAAAAGTAGGCCAGAGGGGTCTACTGAGTAAACAAATGGAAGTTTGTTAGTTCCTTCCAAAAAGGATACTTTTGTACTTTCTGGGCACAATAGAAGACAGAAAAGGAACTTACTGGGCTTTTAATTACGGAAGAGAATTGCATATGGTTTTAATGCCACTACTAACATATTTTTTAGCCTTCAGGAATAAAAGGTCTGTTGTTGATAAACACAGAGGGCTTGCCCACATTTCTGAGCCATTAAAGGGAACTGTCTTACGTGCTGGTACCTCCTAGGCAGCAGGGAAGGACTTGCTCTTAGACAGCATGCACTGCCAAATGTTTCATCGGCCCAACATAAACAAAATAGGCTGTGCTTTTACATAGCAATAGCTTACCCTAGGTAAATAGGCTCTTTTGTTGGGGTGGAACTTTTTTGATAAGGGAACACATGCTGATTATATATATGTGTATATATAGTAGGCTACAAAACCAGCTTATGCTCCAGTTCTGAGGCAGGAGTTTGAAGTTCAGGAACTACAGGATTGCATTAGATCAAGTGGATGTGATCTAAAGAAAAAAATCAAACGCATTCTATGGAGAATCAGTGAGTTTTAGAAAGAAGGCAGGGTTACTTGAAATGGATTAGACTGTGCTCAAATCAAGCCAGTACATAAGATATGCAGAAAGCATTAATTCTAGATGTATAGAACAGGGAATAGATTTAATTTTTAGGTTTTGATTTTCTCAAGATCAAGAAATGTCTCACTGCCTCTTTAAGAAATTTTATGCCACCAAGTTATTTCTTTGCAAATGCCATTAAACACTTCAAAGCACAATGTGCTGCTTTCAATAGCAATTTAGTTTTTTGCAGCAGTTGAAATATCTTCTTGTGTGATGAGCCTGAACCAATATTTTATGTTCTTTTTCTCCTCTGTCTTTCTAAATGCGTGTGGGCTACAGATGGTTCTGTGAAGGAAAAGAACTCCAGAACTCCCCTGACATTCAAATCCATTCTGGAAGTGGAGGACTTCATTCACTAATTATAGCAGAAGCCTTTGAAGACGATACAGGACGCTATAGTTGTCTGGCTTCAAATTCCCTCGGTTCAGATAGTACCTCAGCTGAAATATTCATTGAAGGTAAGAGGTGAAATAAAAAGATTCTTGACTCAGACATGAAAGATAACTAAGCTGAAGTTTACTTTTAGTTCTTATTTGCTTAGTGATAATTGTATGGTGTTTCTCAGCTTCCTTTTAAAGCAGTATATTCTGACAACGGCACTGTACTAATTCTGATATTTCAGTGGATATTCCAAGAATCACTGGCTAGACTGCTATTTATTTGAGGCAAAAAGAAGATAAAAAATGTAAAAGGATGGACAAGTAGAGTTTTTTGTGAACAATAAGTAGCTTCTGCAAATAAAAGATATAACTGGTTATACTAATAATGATTATCAGAGTAGCAGTAATTCCTGTGACATTTCTGAACCTCCTTCCAGTGCAATTAAAGGTGACTGTTCCAAATAAGTCCTCCTCAGTCACGGGTAAACAAGCTTTAATTCTTCATATTTTACACCCTAACTTTAAGTCAGATTGTATGTAAGTCAGTAATACTAGTTTTGTCCACAATCAAGTGACTGTATTTTAGACGTGGTAATATTAACTACATAATTACATTAATTGCATAAATCCAATTTTTACTTTAGTTAATTTCTCTTTCAAGCCCTTCAGTAAGATCTTTTCTTTACTGGTTTTGTAACTCTTTAACATTCATCTAATAATTAGTTGAAAACAAATTAATATAACAAATACTTGTAAATCAGAATAATATTATACTAAAATTATTAAATTGATCTTGATTAACAAAGCAATTTTTTTCACTGTAATTTAGCTGAATCATGGCAAAGTACATTATTTATAAGGTTTCTCTTGTAATATTTTCTGTGCTCAAAACTGTGTTCTTGGGATATAATAGCAAAATAACCAAGGCCTTTTCTGGATTTTATGGATTCTGGTGAGGTTTTTTCTGTGCAGAAGGGAGTATGATTTCAGAAATACTCAGATACAGTACAAACTCATAATTCTACAGGAAGTTATAACAGTGGAGGTGGCACTGAAAACAGATAGAAAGGGAAATACAGCAAGTAAGAATTCATTTTTTGAGATCTGGCTAAGTTTTACCATGTGGAATTTCTGTCTTGAAGTTTCACAACATTTACCTTTCAAAGAGAGAACTGTACAAGCCATTATGCTCCTCCCTCATCATCTTTAAGGAAAGCAGATTGCCATGCAAACATTGCTTTGTACATTAATAATCTTGATGACAGTGTTGTCTCACACCTTCTTTTGTATATCAAGCCCAGCCATGCAAGACATTTTTATCCTTTACTCATAGAGGAATACTTACACGTTGACCCACTTTGCTCACCTGACATTGCTTCTCTTTTCTTACCCTTCTGTGCTACTTACAGCTTTGACTTTTGTAGCCCATACTTTGTAAATAAATCGGGTACTTGAGTCCCTGAGTTCAAGTTCTGTTTCACTGTAAGTCAATCTATGCAATACTGTGTATGTTGAATATGATTTCTCTGTGATCTGTAATACAAATTCAGCTCTGCATATATGTACGAATCCTTAGAGGAATTATCTACACTGCATAAATGTCCAGAATAACTATTGCATACAGAGCCAGTAGCTATTAGGAAAAATAAAGACAGTGGTAAAATAAATACTTTCCCATCTTTTCTTCAGGTGGGTTCAGGGTATTCCAAACGCATACATTATATCAAGACTTCCACTGTAAATGTCATCTGTAGATTGATAGAAATAGTCTGAAATGTGGAAATAGCAGCAAACAAGTTTAGTCTGGAAATGCCTTTCTACACTGAGTGCTCGTAATTATGGTTGAAGATTTATTATCTGTATATAAGACATGTTTTCCTAAGATTTAAGTTTTAACATTCAAGTAAATGCAGTTATACATTTCCAGTAGAATAGTAGTAGTCAGCAATTTTTTTTGTCATATTTGCTTCAGTACAAAGGAATAAAGCTAAGATCCTAGGAGGGCCATGAAGATAATCAGTGCCTGGAGGTGTTCAAGGCCAGGTTGGATGGGGCCCTGGGCAGCCTGGTCTGGTATGAAATGTGGAGGTTGGTGGCCCTGCATGTGGCAGGGGGGTTGGAGCTTCATGATCCTTGAGGTCCCTTCCAACCCTGGCCATTCTGTGATTTTATGAAAACAGTTTGAAATTAAATGGGTATGGACATGATTTCTGTAACTGTCTAAACTATATAGTTATGGTGTCTTAGTAGATAAGCTACTGCCCATTTTCTTATTACAGAAAATTTTCAACACTTGGAATGTCTTACTGTGCACACTGCAAGTCACTGGAAGTGTAATGCAGAAATAGCAAAGTTTTTCCTTTGGAATTTGAACTTAAAAGATATCAGTAAAAGATTATTGAATACGCTTTCTTTTCCAGGTGCCAGTTCCACAGATTCAGAGAGTGAAAGTTTAATTTTCAAATCAAAATCTGGAGCTATGCCACAGTAAGTGGGTGAAATAGGACTAATGATGTTCAAATTTTCTTAATGAGGCACACTATCTTCAGAAGTTTTAGAACTGAATAAGCATCTCGGATGTATTTGTCTGTGTCTTGTCCTAGTCTCTTCTCCTTCTTTCGTGTGATATAAATGTGCAGTATTATGGCTATAGATTTTATTAATGTGCTTATTCTGAGTCTACCCCTACTTAACAACACTTCAGTAGTTATCAACTTTTCATATGTAAGAGTAACTTTTGGTTAATCAAATCTTTGTAATTGCCTAGCCATGTGCCTCCAGAAAAATATGAAGAGGTCTAGAATATATATATATGTATATATTTTTATATAGAGAGAGAGTTTGACTCCTATAAAACTACTATTTACTAGACTATGCAAGCATAAAATAGTCAAAGATTGTATTCCAGTCAAGCTTCCTCCAGAGCTGATCTTTCCACTTTTAATGATATATATAACAGTCTTATAGCCAAAATGAAAACATAAGATGGTTATGCAGATATGAGCATGTAATGAACACCAGTTGAATAAAAATATTGAAGATATGGAAAATACAAGGTGGCTTATTAGTTACAAACATATTCGCATTTTCATATCTTATAAACTGTTGTATTGTTTTTCTTTCTCAGGGCCCAAAAGAAAACCACCTCTGTTTCCCTGACAATAGGACCCTCTTCACCAAAGTCTGGAGTCACCACAGCTGTAATTCAGCCCATCTCTGTGCCCAGTCAGCAGGTATTTCCAGATATTTTTAAATTAGTGGGAGTATTTTAGAATTCATTTCAAAATGTTTAAGTTCTGAAAAACTGTCATTTGAGGAACTATACTAATGGACTATAAGCTTATGTTATTAAGAGTGATGATTTGTAAAATTAGGCAGTTGTCTAGCAAATGGAGTATGACAGCAAATATACATAAGGATTCTTACAGTGTGTATCACTGCAACATGTGAGCAGTTGACATCATGACAATGAAAATTACAGAGGATATTACTTAATAGCAATTTGTTCCAATTCCAAAATAATGTAATTTTGTTAAATTAAATACTACTATTGTTTCTCTCTTCATTTTACTTGGTAAGAGAAATATATAGAAAATCAGTGTTCTTTAGTTTATAGAAAGTTCTAAAGGTGCTGTGGATGACTTAGAGTTTACATATAAATCATGAAATGCAAAAAATAAAAAAGTAAAATCTCTATTAAACTGTACATGGTAAATTACTTTTCCTTTCTCTGTTTAATCTGGATAAATTTTAGATACTCTTATTTATTACAAGATCAATCAAGGGATATAATAACAGAAGATGCAAAGCTGCTTTTGTGCAGAGGACTTACTTGAATGATACTAACAAGTGTTGAACACATAGTATTTCAAGGCAGGTGCTTGAGTACAAAGTTCTCATGGGAAGTAAAGAAGAATTTTGATATCAGAAGTACAACAGAGTGAAATAGTGATGTCGCTCAAGTGTGCTATAATGAGAATAGATTAAAATCATTCGTTTTTGAATTTGTATTATTGAATATGTTTATACAGATGATGATGTTCAAACATTATATCCTTTGCATTTCATAGTGTTGTTGCAATACTTTGCAGGTCCAAAGCCCTACTTCATACCTGCACCATCTGGATGGATCTAAGCCTACCAATTCCGCACTCATTTTCACTAAGGTATGGTTTATCCATCATGATTTTTATACAGGATGCATTTAGTCCAGAAGGAAATATCAAGAACTTATTATAAAGCAGGAGTCTTTGATTGGATAAAAAACAAAAATTGCAGATTTTATTAGGCAGGTCCTTTTCTGTATAAAGACATTCTAATACAATACTTATCCACTGACACAATGATGTTCTTATGCCTTCTACCCTGTTAATATCATAGAGGAATTACATGCATATTCTATGTGCGACAGATGGCAGCAGGACAAGGGGAAATGGTTTTGAGTTGAGGGAGGGAAGACTTAGATTGGATGTCAGGGGGAAGTTCTTTACAAAGAGAGCGGTGAGGTGCTGGAACAGCTGCCCAGAGAGGCTGTGGATGCCCCGTCCATCCCTGGAAGTGTTCAAGGCCAGGTTGGACGGGGTCCTTGGCAGCCTGGTCTGGTATGAAATGGGGAGACTGGTGGCCCTGCATATGGCAGGGGGGGTTGGAGATTGGTGATCCTTGAGGTCCCTCCCAACCCTGGCTATTCTGTGACAGTGCCAGTGGGTCACCTTCCTGGCCTGGATTTTTATGAGCGATGCATTCAAGCACTTGCTCATTGCTTGCAAAAATACATAGCTAATGATGGTGACTATGTTGATAATCTGTGTTTTGTGGCTGGCGTTTTATTCTATCAAATAGTGCTCTTGTGCTCTTTGTATCTGGTGTAGTTTCCATGGAAATAAATAAATAGGAGGCATTAGTTTCAGAGTGACCTTCTGTTAATTACTTCACTAAAACAATTTGACTAAAAGATCATATGAAACAGCAAATAGTTGTTCCTAAACTAAGAAAAACCCCTGTTCTCCACAATTTTATATCTTCACCCCAACGTATCCATTTCTCAAGGCAGAAAAGGTCTGATTCCATTCATTGGAATTCTGCACTCATACTGCAGTTACCACAGGAGGGTGAATAAAGAAGGTGCAAGGAGTTAGAGAATATAGGTGCTGCAAGGTAGGGAGCCAGGCAACTTCCAATAAGAGGAAGAAATACGAGAAGCCTAGCTCAGACACTCAGAAATCACCAGAATCCCACTGTTACCTTCTGGTCCTCATCTCTCTTATTCCTGAAATCCACTATTAACTGGTTTAAGCCAGCTGGCATATACCAAACAAAATCCACTTTAATTACAGAAGGAATGAACCACTTATAAAGAACAACAACGAAAAAGCTTATGCAGCTTCCTTACACAAATTTCTCTGTATGTAAAATTCAGGGAACAATTCGAAAGAGTTTAGACTTCCGTGTTATAAAATTCTTATTAATCTGATTAAAAAGAGACCTAAAAATTGTAAGTAAGGATAATGCTGAGCTTCAAAGTTCACATGTGATGTTGCATCAATTCCTAAAACTTTATCAAAACTTCATTAATAACGGGAAAGGGAGTGAGACAGCCAGTACAGTAAAGAAGGCTCTTTGCTTCATAACCTTGTGATGGATAAGAAAGGCAAACATAGTGACGTTCTCCTGTTGCATAAAGTACTGAACTTCTTCTCCCTTCTAGAGGTCTTCATTAAAGGTCCTTCATATGTATGCAGCAATTCAGTATAGCCATAGTACTGTCTCAGAAGCTATCCAACACATGGTAATACATCCTAATCTGTCATTTACTATAGCTTGGATGTTTATAACTGGCTGGGAAAAAAAAAAGCAATTGTACATTTTAGAGGTTGATCTGAAAGCAGCACAGCTATTTTCTCAAGACCATGTCAACCAACGTGTACCTAGTTGCAGATTTTCATTCTGCCTTGTGGAAGTAGGAGGAATGCTGAGACCGTAACTATCCACTTCTTGTGGTCTGAGAAATTAAATGCTTCTACAGGGTAGTATGCATTATATGGACTATTTAGTCCTTTTGAGGTGATACATTAAATGTAATCGGAGTGAAAGTAACATTCACAGAACATGACTGCTGGAAAAAAGAATACGAGATGGTAACATAAAGACATTTTTTAGAATGTAAAACGCTCCTGTTTATCTGAATTGTGATTGCTTTATTTCAGGAACTACAAAACTCCACAGCATCTGAGGGGCAAGTAGTGGTATTGGAATGCAGGGTGAGAGGACCCCCTCCCATTCATGTTAAGTGGTTTCGACAGGGCATTGAAATTCAAGATTCTCCAGACTTCAGAATTCTCCAAAAAAGTAAGGCAATGACTAAAGTCTTCTAAATGACTTCTGATATGGGGCGCGTTGGGGAGGGTGGAATAATCATGAAATTTATTTTGGATTACATTTCACATTTCATTGATTATAATGGCTAAAGGCTAGTAGTAATAATTGAACTACTGCTACCAATACAACACTTAGTCATATTTATTTTGTAATGTTTCTGCAAAGATTCTGTACTTTTCTACAAGATTTCAGTGTGTGTTCACTCAGTATACTGTTGTTTATTAGCATAATCTCTAACATCATTTTTCTTGTTTGTTTCCCCTTTTTATGATGTGATATGCAGAGCCACGATCTGCAACTGAACCTGGTAAGAATCATATTAAAAATATCTCTTGATTCACTAGGTCTTTGAGTTTGTATAGAAGCTGTAAATGTAAAAGGATTTCTGCTGAGCATTGGTAACATGAAACCCCCTTAAAGAGAATGTTTCTTTATCACACCTTCCATACTCCACACTGGGCTTTACATCAATTCCTTTATAAGTTAAACAGTAAATTCCATTTAGACCAGTAAGGAGAGCCTCATGGCCAAAACTTTTAAGCAAGTTTTATTCTCAGAAAATGAGTAATTTGCATGCTGCAAAGGATGAAAAAAATATCCCACAAAATTGTATGACACCAATTGTATGTGTTTCATAACACTCAACCACTAAATGCTGCTTTTGCCAGTGTAGGTTGACAGATGTGAGTTGTCTTTCTTTTTCCAGAAGAAAGGCACATAGAGTTTTCTAGCCCTTTTATGAGACAAAAGTTCTACATTTCATCAAGAAAGCAAAAAGTGTTCTTCCAACACTTGGTTTTCGCTGGCTGCTTCCTTTGCACTTACAGGCTGTTGCAGTTCCTTGAATTGTAGAGATGCTAAAAGGCTGAGTGTGCTTCATCTTTGTGTTAGATAAGTCAATCAACAGGTAGAAGTAGAGCAGTGGTGTAGTCTTACTACACCTCTTTACTTAAGAGGGTGACAGGTTGTGCTCGAATACGCATGGAGAGAGATTTAATAACAGAGTAGAAAAACAGAAAGAATATTTTTAGATGCGGATATTCCCAAAGAGTGTCTTTGTTCTGAAGGATGTTAGCTATGTGTGCATGTTTTGAACGTTGAGGAGTTGCAGAGGCAGTGTTGAGTGCATAGGGAACAGACTCAGCAATGATGTTTGTAAATTAGCAGTGCTGCTGTTGAGGGTATTGACTGAGAAAAAGCAGTGAAGGGTTAATTCTAGAAAAAAGGTGGCTTTCTGTAAGCATTCATGGAAAGGAGAAGAGTGAAACAGGGGGAAAAGGTTTCTCCTTTCTCAGTTATTCACTGATTTTCTTAGTGTTCCACAAAATTATTTCCTTGTAGTACCTAATTTTATTTGCTGATTGGCGCATGCGCAGTCTATTCTGACAGTCAGTGGTATGAATTGTGTTCTGTCACCACCTGTATTAACAGCTGATGCCCAAAGTACATGTGAAGAAATAATTTGATTTGATGGACACTTGAAATGTGAGATGTGAGATGCAAGAAAATCAAATCAACTTATCATGAGGAATTAAAACATATCTTAATGTTAACAAACATGGACTGGTTTTATAAGCTACTGGTTGGTAGCTTATAGTCATAACTCAAAATTTAAGGTTAAAAATTGTAAGTTTCAGTACAAAATTCTTTTTGGAGAGTTTCAATATCATATCAAGCGTTTGGATATGAACAGAAATGAGAAGAATAGATTTGTGTTGCAATATATTCAATTCTGTGTCATTCTTGGAACATTCTCCCATAATATATATAATGAAAAAAGCCTCCCAAATAAGCTATTTTCTTTAACTTAATAAATAAATAAATGGGGTTCATTCTTTTCTCCTTCCCAGATAAACTTATTTCTGGTTCAAGTAATGGCATCTCTGGGATCCACTTTTCTAGATTTAATCTACTGATGCTATGAGACTAGCAGCTGGTTTATCTAGCTCATTGCTAATACTGGGAGCTTATTCTCTACTGAATCACTTGGACTACATTCACACCCTCCTAAAACATGATAGAAAACTACCCGAAAGGATTTCAAATTTAAGCAAAAGTTTCTGTGAACTCTACTAGCATATCTTGTGTATTTATTTTATTAAATGTCTATTTTGAAACTACTTTGATAGGCATCAACAACGTTAGCTTATTTTTGGTAATTTTTCTTTACCCCCAGTCCTTTTTACACATTATAATGTGTGGAGTACTGGATGACCTAAGTGTTTTAGAGTAGGAATGCAGTGTTAACTAGTGGAGAGAACAAGCAGATGTTTGCCTAAGACAATAGGTTCAAATTCCTTTGTGTGGATAGTTGAGTACGAGGGAAATTTGTATATTTTCTCTCTTACTGGTATTTTTTGATGGTCATCTAAGTAATTTTCATTATTGTTAGTTGCAAGATTTCTATAGCCTATTGGAGATTACTGTGAAACAAGTAAGAACGTTCACTGTAGCTGACACAGCTAATAATAATAACAACTAACTGAAACAGAATAGAAGGTGGAATTCGGACTACAAAAAAAATCATAAGCTTCTCAGCCCTTTCATATACTATCGTGTTGATTTTGCTGAATGGTGCCTAGCTTGCAGACTCTGGGAGAGGATAACTCATAGTTTTAAGTCTTGTAGCATATAAGCAACTTTCAACTATCTGAAATGTATGGATTTCAGTTTGGTATTTTGTTTTCCCTGGATTCATTGAGCTAAGTGCTCACAAGTAAACTTCAATTTTTATGTGTGTAGACAGTTCCTAGTAAGCCCCATCAAATACTGTGCAGTGTCTTACATTCCATTAAAATCAAGAACAGCACACTTGTCAGCTTATTTGTGTAGAAGTTGATCCTGCATGCAGAGAGGATGCAAATTAATAAAATGGGCAAAATGTTTCCTTCTGATGTAAACGACAAGCAGAGTCTTAAGTATAATATTAGCAGTAAGTTACACTATTGTTTAGGATGTCATCAAGAGTCTTGAAATTTTTGCAGCAGGAAATTGAATGGGTTTCAGAAACATAGTAGGTTTTCATGCTGGTACAACACTGGTTTGTGATGCAATATGTATTCTAAGACACCAGACAAAATAATATTAGCAGAGGAAATTTCTCATAAGCAAACACACTACTATGTACAGATGGTGAGGATGTATGCAAGACTGAGCAGAGAGATCAACATGCCTGTGCTAGAAGAGTATTGATAATTTTGAGAGATTGGGATGATTTCTTAAATGATTTCCAAGCGTACATCTTTTGTTGAATTTTGCATAAATCATAACAAGTTGCAGTGTGACATTGTTAGCTGTGAACTGAAGTCCAGATGTCAATAAATACAATGCTAAAAACATTGGTTATCCTTTCTTAGGTTGGTGTTAACGATTTAAAAGAGAATTTTTCCATGAAGTCTCACAAATAAGAAATTAGGAAGCAAGAGGGTTTTCCATTCTAAGGGTTTTTTAGGGTGGATTTTTTCTTTTGTTTTGTTTTTTTTTGGTACATTCTATCTACCCTAATGTATTTTACACTCTTCATTCTGTCTAGACAGAAATCAGTTTGCATCACAAATCCTCGCAGACTGCTTTGTGAATTAATAGTTAGTCAGATTACTTAAAGCCAACATTGCAGTTTGTCTCATTACCTGCTCTGTACTTCTTTCTTTGACATTTTGACTTCATACTGATTGAATCCTCCAAAGAACTGGCTGCCTGAGAATGAAATATCCCATGGAATCATTTGCCAGCTGTTGATATTTTGACCATTACTCAGCTGTCTGGAGTCAGCCGCAAACCGTATTGAATTACATTTAAAACAATGGTCTGATGGCATGTGAGAAGAAAACTATGTGAAGTAATTTTTCTTAAGCTGCCAGCGAATTGCCACATGTACATGGTGTTTTTTGTTTGTTTTTATTTTTCTGAGGCACGATTCCTCATATGTTCACCAAAAGCATCTCAAAAGACAGTCATCATTTCTCTTGGATTGTGCTGCTGTGATTGTGTGTCTGGCTGCTGCTGTTCCACCTCTAATAACTCAATCCCTTAGAAATCATCCTTTCATTCTTGCACACTGTTTGAAACTCAAAATATGTGTAAATATTTCCTTTCCCCAGGAAAATGAGCTTTCTGATAGCTGATGAAATTCAGTACACAGAAGCTTTGGTAGATCAGCAGATGCATATAACCCTTGCATAGTTTAGAGAACTGTGAATCTGTGCAATCTGTGAAGTTCAGTCTCAGCAAAGAATATTCTTCTTCACAGATTCATGAACCATTAAAGGATTACTCTGTAAAATGTAATCTTTCTGAGCAACTGACACAACAGTCGAGTGCTTCCACGTCTAAACATTTTGCATGTTTCAGTGCACAGAGTGCTTTTGTATTAGTGTAGTCGAGTGTTAAATATGTTTTAAGGCCCTGAAAACAGCATTTCAGAGCTGCTTTCTGGAACCCATTTTTGTGATGAAATTACTTGTCAGTTGATGATTACCGGGAAGGGAAACAGACATCTCCAGATCATCAGATGCTACTTAGCACAGCAACAGAAAGAAAACTGATTATATAAGTCAGGATCTAAAACTAGAAAAGTGCTCAGAGCGTTATGTATCCGTATAAAACACTGGTTTGACATAAAAATTTTGTAACATTATTTCTACCTTTCCTACAATGGTCAGCCTTTTAGCAAGGTCAGCAATTCTTGATGTGGGAGTGATAGCAAAATGACTAAAAAAAATAATGTCGTGGTGCTCCCACATGCTTTTAGCCAGATCCAGCTTTGAATTACTTCTCTCCCTCTTTCTCCTTTATTTTTTTTTTCCTTTTTTAATTCTTTTTTTAACAATGCTTTTATTTTAGTTGGTTTTCTCATGATTGAGCAGAAAATATATTTTAGTTTGCTCATCCAGCTAGATAGGCTAAGTTTTAAGCTTCCATTATTTTCATTGCAGATTTAATGTCATTTTGTCTTGCAGGTATTACTGCAGTTTACCTTGCATAATTTTCCAATGTACTGCTTCAGTAAACAAGCCATGTCACAGTTGAATCCATTAGAATTCTTTTATCACTGAAGAGTAAAAATCTGCTCACCTCACGTGATCATACTTGCAAAACTGACAGTATGAATTAGCTATGCTCTGTGGAAAATGGAAATTCCACTGGTTGTTGTGTTATGTACCTTTGCCCTCGTTCAAATAGCAGTTCTTAGCATGGTGAAAATGATTTTCTTTCACCCAGCTTTCAGAATTCTGTTGTTCATTTAACAGGAAACTAGAAGGCTGCACGTATCAGATTGCATCCCCAGAGCCACTTCAATCCAGGACAATGCACGTGTGCTTAAACTGCTTGGGACACACTAACACTAAAAAAAGCTGATCTCAGTAGTTCAAAAACTAGCTTGTGTTACTCATTACTTTCCTGATAAGAGCTTTCATGAGTCATTTCATCTTCATCTAGGTCAGATAAGAACCAGCATGCTACAGTATTACCATACATGCCTCTTACAGCTACTCAGAATGACTGGTTTGTGTTGCCAAAAAAAATAAATAAATAAATCCACCACCATGTTCTGCTGTCTGAAAATCAGCTCTGCGCCAAGTCTTTAGTTAGTCATTCATTTTTAGTGCATTTCCAGTACACTAAGTTCTTGGATACGTTGTCATTTATAACTGGAAATATTCCAGAATTTTTTGGTTAACTTTCTAAATGAGACAGTGGTTTGCCCATCTACAGTGACAACTAGGAAAAAGAGGAAAAAAAAACAACCAACCAACCCAAAAACAAAAAAATCAACTCTAACAACAAGAACAAAAAAAAGCTAGAAAATGTTTTCATTGTTTAATCTAAAGGAAATGAGGCTATTCTTACCGAATGTCTCGTACGGAATAATTTTCATCTGAAAATTAATGGATTTTGAAGCACTCTTCACTTTGCTTTTATTAGCTATATTCCACTGATTATTTTATTGTTTTATAATATCTGGGATCCCATATGAGTGTCTTCAAAACACTTTTTTTCTTCTTTTTTTAATGAAATAGAGTTTTGTTAAACTTTGAAGTACGTTTTTAATCATTTTTGTGATTGGTTTTGAGACTAGCAAATGAGCTTAATCAAAAGAAAATCCTGATTAATTAACAAAACATGACCTAACAGTGTCCAAGATTAAAGTTGGGTATGCATGTTGTGTAAATTCAAAGATTATTTAGATTAGCTACACTGTGAGCCTTTTTAAGATTGGCATACACCTAGAATTACAGATAAAATGAAGTGACTTCTCTGAAGAATCTGGAAAAATAGTATAATAGATAATTAAATATGTTCATAATAAGAGCATGGAATGGATTTAGTTAGAAAATATTACCTTGAGACTCAACCTGAAATATGAATAGCCCAGCTTTTGTGGAAGTTTTCTGAACAGAGCTCTGGTCAGGAAGCATATATGAGATGATGGTGTATCAAAGCAGAACAAACAGATTTTCAACAGCTCCAGAATATGTCTATGCCTCTTCTGCAGAAATGGAAATCATCCTTCCAAACTCTACATAAGGGGCATACCTTGTGCATGCAGAGTTTTTAATTCTGGTCATTTTACATAGAAAGTTCAATTGGAAGTGATGACTAAGTACTTTCTGGCTTAACTGGGAATGTGATTTGATCTGAACTGTTTCATTAAATAAGAAAATTTAAGGGAAAGAAGCAACGATGTGATACTCATGTTAGTATCATACTAATGATATCATCAGGTAGGTTTCATTTAGGTAGGTAGATTCAAAAAGAGCTTACAAGTTCTAATTGTATATAGAAACCATTACATTGATTGGTATGAATTAGTATGAGTTCTGCATAAAAAAAAATTCCATTGTAAAATAACTTTGCAGAATAGTAATTGCAAAGTTATTTTCCAAGACATGTTCTTTTAGAAGACCTAGATGGGTAGATTTACTTGTTTTTGCATATAAAGTCATTTTCACTGAAGCCATGTCCTTTGGAAGCCCAGCATTCGTATAAGAAGCACTTCATGATGTTCTTCTAACATGCAATGCAAAACGTGACGTGGTTCCTTAAGCAGTTTGTAATGTGGTTTATTTTTCTGTTTATTTCCAGAAGAGATATGTACTCTCGTGATTGCAGAAACTTTTCCTGAAGATTCAGGACTTTTCACGTGCACAGCAACAAATGAATATGGTTCAGTAACAAGCAGTGCACAACTAACTGTCTGCTCAGGTATGTGACAGAAGGAAAGAGGAGGTTTTAATCGTGGGTCTTAGATAATTAATTTACCTGTGATGTCTACTTCATTTGTAGAAAAGGGCTGCCATAATACAAGGGTTCCTTTTTCAGATCTGCATCCCACTCTCTGAATATTCCCACAGCACTGACTGATATAATTTGAATATATAGAAGTGGCAGTTGGATGAGGGATGGATGAATGTGATTCTATTCATTCTCAGAAAGCATGAGATTGATTCCTAGAGATCTGTTCCAAAAGTTGAACTACTGAAAGAGTGAAGCATCATCTCAGCACTGCTTATCTATAGAGGACAGCAAAAAAAAGCTGTTAGTCAAGCAGCTAGCATATTGCCAGTAAGATGGATGATAAAACACTGCATCCTTTAAAAAAAAATGGATAGAAAGAAAATGCCATATAGTAACTCCAGCAGATAAATGGAAAGTTTGTGTAAATGCATGAAACGGGCTTTATTTGTCTGTCCTAGACTTGCTGTTCAGACAGCAGAAACCATTTGAGTCAAGTAATTACAGTGCTAAAGCTTGACTTCTCCTGGTGCTACTATTGGTGCATGCTATCAGCCAAGAGTAATCTGACACCTCTTTCTAAGTTACACTGCAACCTATCAATGTCTATGAATATTTATAAATCATACTGTCAACCTCAAATTGTTCAAACTGAGTTTTTATATTGATTCACTTCCCAGCTTAGTATTTTTATTCATGTAAAATGCATTTTAAAAGTGCCTGCTACAATCCTGGCAGATGTTTAAGCATTAGGCTTCTGGGACTAGATGGCAGCAAAGGCAAAATGAAAACAGATGAAAATTTTGCTACGGAAGGTGGCATATGCCTTTTGTAAAACACAGAACTTTGTTCACGTTATGTTTAGTTTTGTGCTATGTTTACATACAGACTGCGCTAACGCAGCTGCCATTGTCAATGTGCTAAATATAAATACATCCTTCAGAGTTTTAAAATAATTTGTTTTAAAACGATGCTAAGACTCCAGGAAGAGGGAATGCTGTTTCAGCTGTTGTTGCTCCATAGGCCATCTCAGTTAGTGAGTGAAGTTATGGAAAAGATTGGGAAGTATCTAGAAGGTTCCTTATTCAGGAAGTCCAAAAATGAATAGCCAGTCACCTACCTAATTCAGGATAAATTATCAACAGTTCTGGAAAAGTATCTCCACAAAAGCAGAGTGATGTCACTTTTAACAAGCTCATTGTACAGCATGTCTGTACCATCTATTTAGTTCATGACTTGTCAGAGAGAAATTCTTTTTGATCTCTTTTAGCCAACTCAGAAAACTCTACTCATGAGTCACTGACAAGAAAATCCAACAGTGATGATTTCCACCATTTCTCACCGCTTCCTCCAGCTGAATTCAGCTCTCTTGAGCTTTCTCCTAAGAAACACATAGAGACCCACCAAACAAATAACACTGAATTGAGATCTGGAGTGACAGCCCTTCAATTAGATCTCAGTTCATCTGGGGAAAAAACAAATGGGATCCACCCCATTCATGGAGTAAATGGAATGATTAACAGCAAGCCAAATGGGGATAAACCCATCTCATCTCCAGCTGTCTTGCTTTCACCTGCTAAGGAGCCACCACCTGTGCTTGCCAAACCAAAGCTGTGAGTATTTGGCTTTGCTTTCTTTTCCTATAAACTTGTTATCCGTTGAAAGTAAATTTTTGCCAGGAGTAAATTAGTGTTAGGCAAATAGTGGAAAATGACTAAACCTTTTTCTTTAATAATCTCCTTATTACTTCTTATTGCTGTAACTTATGTCCCAAAGATCCAAGTATATAGTTTTTTTCATAGCACTACATGAAAGGGAAGTGCACTGTTGTGTACACCAAGTTCCATATGAAGTCTCTAAAACAGCAGTAAGTATTGGTGTCTGTTGTTCTGCTCCTTTTCCCTAGTCACTGAGCCCAGATCTCATAGTGGCCTGAGATTCTTGTATGTTGTTCTTTTTTCAACGCTGTTTAGCCATGTTTATGATGAGTACTTTTTTTTTTTTTTTTTTTCTTCTTTGGCAATGGATTTTCAGGTGTGTATTCGCTGTGTAATTTCTTCTGTTATGTTTAGCATCCAGCTGATTCTGCTGTAAATGAAAATGGAAAGCCCAAGGAAGAGAGAAAGGAAAAAAAAAATCAACATATCTTTTCTTTATTTTAGCAATACATTCTTATGTAAAAGTGGGTTTTCACTGTTAATATATGGTTTTATTTTAATACTGGGAAAATTCTACTTTTCTATTACCCTCAAGAATTTCTGCAGTGTGACAAAGGAGTAAAAATGCTATTTTATTTCACTTGCATTGATAATCAGAAAGGGTCATTAATTATTTTTTTGAAAAAAACCCTCTCAAATATGGTCTTCAAGCTTAGCAAGGTCATTTGCAAAATTTCATGTTTTGCAGGATATCCTGTGAAAACATAAAAACACTTTTAGCAACCATTTACTACATCTCCTGATCTTGAGGACACAAAAACACGCTCATAAGGGAGCAAATTGGCATTCACTCTCTGCATTCACTCCCTTTTTCTTTCTGCTGGTCATTATCATTCTAAGCAGCCTTTGACAACTGCAGAAGAGGAATGAAAGAAGCAGAAAGACAGGATGGTGGAAGAATAGAATTTAGTGGAGATTGCATACATGGGAGGTGTGGACTGACCCAGGTGGTCCTCTACCCATCTCATTCATTGCAAGACCCATTTGTCAAGGAAGGAGATGGCAAAGTAATTAAAAGCAAATTTCACCCCAGAGCTTTTTCCCAGAAGTGATATTACCCTAGGTAAAGGAGAGAAAGCTGTGTAATAGACTTTACATTTGCTTTAAAAAATGGAGTGAAATCACTGTCTAATGTTTCACCAGATCTATCACTGAACTTTCTCAAGCAAACACAAACAAGAGCAATTGAAGTAGTACTGGCTAGCAGAAGATATCTTAATCAAGTTGGAAATAACTTCCAATTTGAGCTCAAGATAAAAGATTTTCTTGGTGTTCAGTGAACATGATCTTTATCTGAAAGAAGACAAAGCAGTTAATGGTTTTATAAGGAGAATGAGTGGCTTAGGTGCTTAGTTTTTAGACTGACATCATGAGTACTTGCAGCCAAGCTTTTGACACAGGCCAGAGATGCAAGGAAACCTGGATTTTGATTTCAGTCAATCATTAAATCCTCTGTGAATTAGATGGCTTTTTACTGTTGAAGATGAGGTGTTGGAATGGCTATAAGGACGCATTCTGAAGCACTGAAATATGATATTACTACCAGCTCACAAACTTAGTTTTACCAAGAATTTACTACTTCTTTCTGTGAAAACAGTCAATATCAAGTGCTTTACTACCATGGAATTTAAAAGACAGTAGTGCTAAATATTGTTAAAAAGGCACACTATTCTATCGTGCCTTGTTTGCAACATGAATTTACATAGTGAAGAGAGAAAGAACTGTTGAACTTTCAGTTCAGTTTACAAAAAAACAAATTTCTGCAGTTTTGATTCTGCTGCTGTGACTGTTTGAGGTAGTTGAGCAGCTAGTGTACACTGGACTTTTCCAGGTAATAGTGGTGGTGCTGAGCTTTCAGAAATATCCCCAGAATCCTTGAATTCTATCACACACAATTCTCTATGGCAATGGTTTTTGCAATGACAATGAAAGGTAGTAACTTTGTTTAAAAAAAAAAAAAAAAGAGAGAGAGAGAGAGAATACCCATTAAAAATGGGTTTTAAAAAATCCAGTTTATGAATTTATCATTAATATTTTCTTTGACAGATGGATGTTTGCTGTTTTGTTTTTTTTTTTTCTGACTTTTGATTTTTAGAAACGTATTCAAAAAGTACTAAAAAGAAAACAAAACAGAAGAAACTAAACATAATTTGGAAAGAAATATGTCTGTATGTGTCTATATGATGTCTATATGTGGCATTAGTAACAGTTTGTGAGTATAGCTAGTTAATCAGTATAGCTGGACTATTATTAAAAATGTTTCTTAAATATAAGAAGTCAATCTGGCAAATATGCATTGAGGTCACTGCTGTGTGAGTAGATGGAACTTCCTTAATTAAAGACACTTGTGTTCTCCCTGGTGTGAATGTAATACTATTACTTGAGCTGAATTATTTGTCACTTCTGTCTCCATGCCTCAGCTGCTGAGATTTGCCTTCCACAATTTCTTTTGTTTCGTAAGCAATGTTTCAGACATTTTTTACAAGCAGGTCTATTCCATCATTTCTTGAACGTCTCTTACGCTCTTTATTAAAATCTTTGTTTCACTGTTTTTTACCCTTCGTTGGAATTACCCTTCACTTGATCTTCTTGAAAGCAATTTGCTTAATTTTAGATTCAGTTGTACTTCTCTGGGGCTTTAAGGACATAGTATGAAATTATTATACCTTTAAAAACAGTTAGGTCAGACTACTGAAGTAGTAAGTTACTACTTAGACCATATCAGGAAGAGTTAGGAGGGAAAAAAAAATAAAATAAGAATAGCCAGCAATCCAGTAATTAAGGCCTTGGAACAGAGTGAAGTCAGGTGTAAGCCTGGATCTTGCCTAACAGAGCCTGGGGTGCTGAAGCTCAGAGCACAGATATTTGTGTTTGCAGCTTGGAAAGCTTCAATTTTGTTCTTATACGGAAGAGCAACGTTTTGGAAATGGTGAGAAAATATGTGATTTAGGAAAACTGTTTTCTATTCTACTAATGTACATGTTAATGTCATTTTCTTAAGCAGCCTTAGCTGCTTGGGGAAGAAGGACCACCAAAATGCGCAGTTTGAATGTTAAACACTGATTTATGAATTTAATATATATTTTGTTTTTAAGTTACTGCATCTTTGGATGAAAACACAGATAGAAAAATAGGTGTTCTTGTGTAGTTTGAAAGACACCCAGAGCAGCATTTATTTTGTATGAAATAAAAAGTAATGGAGCATTTCCAAACTATTAAAAGATAATCCACATCTCTTATGTGATTCAATGCTGAATTATGTCCTAGTGGGTTTTCTGTATCTCTCCAGAAGTCCCGTCCCTTCCCTTCCCTTCCCTTCCTTTCCCTTCCCTTCCCTTCCCAATTAGAATTGTCAATCAGAAATATATACAGTTGTATATTCAGTATTTATTTGTTAGGATAAAAACATGGAAGACAAAGGCTTTGTCACTACAGAAATGAGAAACAAAAAACAAGCGCTCATTCTGGTAGGAAAAAGGAGTGGGGTAATACATAACTGATATTTCCATATTCTTTAAGGCTGAACAGAAGTCTAAGTTGTAAACATTCATGCCATTTTACTTGGAAATGTGCAGGACAGTGTTCATGTGTACAGGAGAATTGTAACACATTTGTTTATTTTGGAAAGCAGTGCTCACAATAAAATGTAACTTTGTGAGGGTAAGTGCAAAGGTCCATCCAGAGGCACTTCAGTTTCATCTGTAGTGCTCCTTCAAGACAGTAAACCCTTTAGATTCTTGCCAAGCTGATAACTTGCTCATAAGGACTATCCACAAGAACACTTTGATCTAAATCTGTTTTCTACTATGGTAGAAACAACTAATGCTAGCACAGAGGAAGAAAGAACAAAGAACATTTCTAAAAGGATGACTCTCTCCTACAGAACTGCAAATAATTTAAGTACAATTTATTTTATGAGAAATAAGATCTAATTTTCCAGATTGCTTATGCTTAGTATGTTGGCATGTAAAATATATAAATATATACTGCTTATGTGAAAGTGCCATGATTGAGTTGTTTCAAGATAAATCAGCTATAGTAAAACTACATAAACTTGAAGAGACAGAAAGCTGCTTCAGCTTCATCTCAAAATAGAGCTTTCCATCTTGTACAAATCAGGTGGATCAGACGTTGTATGTTAGTAACCTATTTGTTTGTACCAGTTTTATGAGACAGCACTGCTCCCAGTGGCTTTCATGGTTCCTCATTTAGGAACTTAAAGCCACGTGGCAATGGGACAACCATATCTTTCATGTTCCTCAACAAATTCATGAAAAGCATGGATATTGCGATGACGTGCTGGTCTGCTGGCTGTTAATGGCAGCCTCATCGGGGAATAGAGTGCCATTGTTGTTTCCATTCCTAGAGGTGACTGTGATGAAAACATAACAACGTATAGGAACTTAAAATTGAAATTGTAAATGATGAATCCATTTTCGTGCTGCTTCTGCTTTCTGTTACTTCAATTGCCAGTTTAAAGAATAACATGATCTAAAAACGATAGCAGTTATTGCTGAGAAGTTTCCTTTTTGCCAATGTCTTTATTAACTTATTGTTAAAGGGTACTGAACAAACTTTAAGCTACTTAAAATCTGCAGCAATACAATTCTGAAACTCTTTTGTAATACTCAACAACCACAACAAGAAAGGTAAAGGGCAGGTGAGAAATAAGTTTTTAAATTCTTTTCTTTCTTCTCCTGGTAATGATGTTTCCTGACCCTTAGTAAATGGGGAGAACTAGCTGGACATCCTGCTTATATAAACACTAATCAGTGTTTTAACAGGAAGAGTCAAACATCCTTGAATAAGTTATAAAACATGAGTGTTCAGTGTACACCCCCCCAAAACTGTGCACACAGGACTTCTGTGTTTTTCAGGTTCATTTATTTTAGCATTGAAAATAATCAAGGCTGTAGGATAAACAAGGAAATGGAGGAAAATTAACAGAGGTCTAGCCATTAGTGTGTGTGTGGGCCTTTTTCAGTTTTTAGTCAAACACGTGTTGCAAGCATGTAAATTATTAGTGCCCCCAAAAGGTGGTTTCCCATTCTTTTCTGCCTTGCTGTGGTTTTATTCCTTTGTTGCCTCCTTTATGCCTTTGTTGCCAAAGTAATGTTACTCCTAGTTTCTTCCAAGATGTCAAAACTAGGCTGTTATTTCTAAGAAGCAAATAGAAGCTCAGCCTAAGCGCTAAGAACTTTCTTCATTTTCAGTTGCTGAAAGTGTTTGGAATGCTGGTCTACAAATAACCAGATGCTGT